GGTAGAATTATGTGGGTGAAAGAGTACTTCAGTGCATTTTTAACACTAAGATACAAAAGTGGGGAAATTGCAGTCTGAAGTGTTCTATTGTACATTTTTATAATGCATTTATTAATATTCAAGTACATGTATTGTGTAACAGCTAGCTGAGAAATATAAGTAAATGGGATTAGTATTTTCCTTATAGAACTATTGTGAATGACTTTTAATACGTTTTAATTCTTAAAAACTTTTAAAACAAGAATTCAGAATAACTTGGTGTTTAATGTTGCCGTGGACATGACTTTGGCTTTGACCTTCAACCTTTAATTTTATTAAGGATGACAATAATTTTTTAACTTACTAATAAATAAAGTGAGTCACATTTTGCTTATACCTGAACTGGATTTCTTTTAATTGATTGGTTAAAATGTCTTTAACCTGCATTTTACTTCTAAATAAGGTTATCAAATTATAATTTGAAACTTGTGGCATCTGATTTGACATAAGTTTTTAAGAAATCAAGTTTTGATGAATCTGTGAATTATGACTGAGACAACACATGCCTGGCCTGGAAGTTCTATTAAATATGATGCATAAAAACTACACATTTAATTATTTTGTCTTATGTTTTTTACAATTGCTGAAGCAATTGATAAGTAGAAAAATTGGAGAGGAAATGATTTGTCATTTTATCACAATTGTCAATGACTATTTTTGTCAGACTTTTGGCTCAATATATCTGATAGAATTCTTTGTCTGTTGTTGTCATAATGTTGTAAACTTTTCACATTTTCTTTTCTCCAAAATCACTAAGCTAGTTTCAACCAACTTGACACAAAGTATCCTTACATAAAAGTTTTTTAATGGTTATGGATCATACCAGGGGAAAATAATAAAGGAAAAGTAAAAATTGGGTGGGGTATTTTAAAAATCCTCTTCCCAGGAACCACTGGGCCAGAAAAAAATGAAACAATATAAGTGAAAGCTTCTGGCTTCTGTAGATTCAAGTTTGTTCAATTCATTTCTCTTTGGGGTAAACTGGGGGCATTTCATGAAGTATGGGTAGTCAAAGTTTTACACAGGAATACATAGGGAAAATTCTTGATATATTTTTTTTGTCAAGAACAACAAAATTCATGATGCCTGGGAATAGGATATATAGGTAGGTGCAATATGGGTTATCAGTTTTACATATAATTGCATAGGAAGAATCTCTAAAATTCTTCTCAAGAACTGCAAAGTCATGATTAGTCATATTTGTATAGAAGCATCCTCAAGTCGTGTAGATTCAAAGCTTGCCTAAATCATGACCCTTAATGATAGGGTTATGCCATGATGAGCAATCAGATTTATAATAGGAATATCTAGGTAAATTCTTCTAGAGAATAGCAAAACCATGAAAAGTCATAATTATATGGAAGCTAGCTGCTTTAAATATAAGATTGTTCAAATTTTTGCACCTGGGCTGGGGTAGTATGGGGCCACAATTTTTATATAATTTTACTTTGGAATTTTAATTTGGAGGATTAAATCTGATGAAGAACAGAAGAGTCATTAGTTACTCAGGTGAGCATTGTGGCCCATAGGCCTTTTTTTAATTTAAAATACAAATCAAGATTTAAACTGTTCACTGGGGCACATATCAGATTTTTCTTTTCAATGGAAGCTCATATTTCTTTTCATTTATTCTAGTATTTTTGTACTTATCCTTTAAGGAAACTGATAAGGTATTGCAGGTGCACAGAGTTTTTTCCCAGAAATCCATTGACTGCATATACCTGCCTTCACCTGTGTAAACAAGAAAGAATATATGATAAGGGAGAGGGGGTATGCTTTCCAGATGAAATTTATATTGTTAAAAATGATATATACCATATAACATGGATAAATATTCATCACATCTTTTGATATCACTGTCTTTTAACCCATTATGAATAGAACAAGTCAATGAATTAGACATTTAAACCACAGCTTGTTCAAAGTTTGCATTGATCATTGAGTCATGAAAATTAATCTAACATAATTCTGCAAATTTGACAATGCTTTTCTGAGAATTCTAATAGCTAGATTTCAAAGCCCTGACATTTTGAAAAATTGTGATTTAATATGAGAGTGAGGGGTTTTATTTCATGGTATTTAAATTATTATCTGATTTTCATGTTGTCTCATTTATACAGACATCAGATGTAACAAACACTAATCTTTACTTATATCACACAGACAGCAAATTGTTTTTAGCTCACCTCAACGAACTTATGTAATATCAGATGTAACAGGTTAAGTTTTTTGGAGCAGTTTTCTTTTTAAGTACTTCTATGTCCTATATTGATTAGACATGCATGGAAGATGGTTCTAGTGTGTTTCATTGTACCACAAAGTTTCATGCTGCAATTTCAGCAAAGGAATGACCAGGTTAATGTTTTTGGAGCAGGTTAACATTTTTGGTGCAGTTTTTGGTGTAGGTTTCATTTCCAAGTAACTATAAGCCCTATGTTGACCAAACTTGCATGGATGGTACATCTAAGGATGTACCAGGCTTGCTTCGGATGCTGAATCTGACCTACATTTTTTTGAACAGGTTAAAGTTTTTGGTGTAGGTTTCATTTCCAAGTAACTGTTAACCAAACTTGCATGGATGATACATATAAGGATGCATACTACTGGGCTTGCTTCAGATGCTGAATCTGACCTACATTTTCTGGTTGAGTGAACAGGTTAAAGTTTTTGGTGCAGGTTTCATTTCCAAGTAACTATAAGCCCTATGTTGACCAAACTTCATGGATGATACATCTAAGGATGCATATACATTTGAATTGACCTACATTTTCCTGTTGAGTGAACTGCAGGTTTCATTTGTAACAGCCCTATGTTGACCAAACTTGCATGGATGATACATCTAAGGATGCATACTACCATATACATTTTCTGGTTGAGTGAATAGGTTAAGGTTAAAGTTTTTCGTGAGTGATTCATTTCCAAGTAACTATAAGCCCTATGTTGACCAGGCGTGAGTGATTCATTTCCAAGTAACTATATTGACCCATTATATAACTTTTAAGGATTACTACCAATCTTTTGAGTGATTCATTTCCAAGTAACTATAAGCCCTATGTTAAAATGTACATTTTCTGGTTGAGTGAATAGGTTAAAGTTTTTCGTGAGTGATTCATTTCCAAGTAACTATAAGCCCTATGTTGACCAGGCTTGCTTCGGATGCTGAATCTGACCATCATTTTCTGGTTGAGTGAACAGGTTAAAGTTTTTGGTGTAGGTTTCATTTCCAAGTAACTATAAGCTCTATATTGACCAAACTTGCATGGACGATACATCAGGATGCACACTAATGGACTTGCTTGGGATGCTGGATCCGACATACATTTATCATGTTAAAGTTATGGGTGCAGGTCTATTACCAAAAAACTATAAGGCTTATATAACATTGTATAAACCAAACTTGCACAAATGTTGCATCAAGAGATGAAAACTCTCAAATTTGCTTCAGATGCTGGATTTTGATTACATTTTCATGAAGAAGAACTAGTTTAAATTTTTTATGTAGGTCTATTTCAAAGTATCAGATCAAAATTGCTTAAATATTTTCATTTTTGGAATGTACACTTTTTGTTGGTTAATTGTGTGACTTTGCCTTACTTAAAGACAACATTCGTTGAGGTGAGCTCTGTAATCTCTGATTACCTATGTTTATCCTTATAATGTTAACTAAGTACATTCACTTTGAATTTTCATATCAAATATTATATCTTGAATTTTACAGGTCTGATGGAAAGAGATACATGTACATTTTCTCCTGTATACATTTTTGCCTTGCAGAAATATGCACCCATTATATAACTTTATCTTTTTTTTAAAATGTCTACAACCCAGAATTTTTTTTTCCTTAGCCAAGTGAAGGTGCAGTTATACTTTTACTAAAATGTAAATACTAATTCCTTGTAGACCAGTGCTAATTAAGTGCTGATTAGGTATTCAGTCATTAGGTGTGAATATCTTCTGTAATGTCAAATAACTTTTCCCAAGGTCCAATAAACATCATGATAAGACAATTTCCAGTACTTCCGTGGTTAAATTTCTCAGAAAATAAGAAGGAATAACTAAATGATGCTCTTCGACAAAGCTTTGGTGTTGCCTTTTCTTTGTTGGGGGCGGGGGGTGCGGGGTATTGCATTCATTACACTTCAACTATTGCTTGACTGATTCAAAATGTAATGATTTTATTCCCCTCCATGTCCAACTAAAATTAATAATCTTGCTAACATCTTCTTGATTAAAATTACAAAAACAAAGGAAACAATTATAATATGGCTACAAGATTTCTATCAGGTGTGTTTAAAGGAAATAAAAAATGATTTTGTGACAAATATTCTTTAAATTTCTTTTTCTCTCCTAAAGTTTGCAAGTTTTGTTACCAAATACAAATTAATGCTGGTAATGACATTTTTTTTTTTTTTTTGGTCATTTCATGCTTTGCTGACTTTTGCAACATCATTTTTATACACATCTAAGAATTTTCTTAAATAAGAAGATTTAAATTTGAATTTGAAACTGAACACTTACTACCAGTATAAGTTTGAATATACACATGTATCTGATACAAAGATTAAACATATAGTGCATGCCACCCTTTTGTACATATCTCTGTTGGATCATGTTTGTTTGAGATCAGTATCGCGACCAATCAAGTAACACTGTCATCTAGTATATTTGATATTTTAAATTAAAAGATTGGACAGTTCACCAATAAGAATTTAAGTAAACCCAGTGTCTTCTTACTTCCTGATAAAAATTTTATCTTTATACCGGTATTTCAATTTTCACAACCAATAATCTTGTTACATTATCACTTATACATATCCATTTTTTATAGGAGAAAGTTTCCAGATCCAAAGATTATTTTTTCCTTGACAATAGGAAATATATGTTAACTATGTATGGTTAGTTAGCCTATTCAACAGGATTAAATTCTTTTAACCAATTCTCAAAACTTTTTTTTTTTGAAGGTCGCAGCCACCCAGTCAGAGTGGTTGATTCCTCCCCTAGAGATTCTACATCACAGAATGTTTCCAGGCCACGGTCAGGCCACGTGTCTAGTGCCAGGAAAAGCCCCTCCCCAAGGAATGTGTCTGACAAAAACCCCAGACCTTCCTCAGGTGGAGGGGCCACAGCAGCAGAGGATGTGGAGGTAGCAGAAGAGGCCGCAGCCTTCGCATACCAGTCCTTTAATCAGGACACGGGGGGAGTCGTCAGTGTGCCCCCTGAGGTCCAAGCACAGCAGGAGATACCATTGGAGGATTTATCAAAGAAAAAGAAGAGACACTCGGGAAGAAAGCTCTCAGGGACAAAATTAATAGGGCCTCAATCTGCTCATCCGAGTAGAAGTCACTCCCATAGTCCTAGGCGGAATGAGAAAACGCAGACGAAGAAAGGGCGTGCCACGTCATTGACAGTTATAATTGCACCACCTGAGGCCAGCAGGCCCCATAGTAACAGTAGTCCAATACCACTGAGCTCTTCTCCTGCACAATCCTCCACCTCCTCCTCGGAGAACAGTCCTCAGACGTACGGCTTTACGCGTGACACATCTAGTCAGTCCCCCAAAACCCTCAGGCCCGCTGATGCTCCCACGCTCTCCCTGCTTCCTCAGGGGGGAGATGAGATCAACTCGGAGGAAAACTTGGGACCTAAATTACTGCCTCCGACTGAGGTAGAGAGAATCAGAAGTGTTAGTGACGTGTCCAGCACCAGTAGTGACACTCAGGGGGAACTGACGCGAAGCAACAGCAGTGCGTCAACAAACTCTAGTAAACCAGTGTTCGCCGTAAAGTCTGCTTCTGAAGCAGAAGTGAACAAAGACTCTGCTGGGGGTCAGGTAGTGCAGATAGGTCAAGGTCAGGATGAGTCTGCCTCGCAGCAGCTGACTAAACTGGCTCAGATGGTTCAGCAGCATTATGGGTCTGTAGAAGAGGAGCCAGAAAACCAAGAATCCAGTCTAGATGGGGACCTGAAAGGCTCTGTTAAAAATGTGTGATATGTGTAATGGGTATTAGGTGATATCTTAGTCAAAGAATGATTTGATATAGACTGCCAAAGTTGGTTACTGAAATGACTCTTTTTTTTATGGAACAAAGATGAGCTTTCTTTTTTAAATTTGTGCATACTTGAAATTGATACTACAAAAAAGTTTTTTTTTTTCAGTTTTAAATTTTTCTATGCACTTTTACCAGTTGAATGAATTCTGCATTATAAATGCACACATAACTAAAATAGATAACAAAGAGTTTATTTTAAGATATTTCAGTGATAATAGAAGTAGCCTTGATATATATGGTGCATATTATTTTCACACATTTTTTTCAGATAATAACACTAGATTATAATTGTTTTGAAATTATTTTTAAAAAAAAAGGGGGGGGGGGAGGTTAGCTGGTATAATACAATTTAATAATAAAGCAAATTATCATCATATTTTGTTCCTTATAAGGTGAATTTCCAGTTGTTTTATCATGTAATTTATTCTTTCTAATTATTCTTAGAAAACCACTATGCAAAATGCTTATTTTGGCAGGGACTACTTCAAATCAATTCCAAACAAGTGAAGAAACGTTTATTACCAGCTGTAACTATTATGAATGTCTATGAAAACTCGAGCTCTTCTGCCTTGCCTTCAGTTGAACAATGAACACAAAAAAGCCCTACTAACAGGGGGTGATTTTATAATAAGCTGACACAGGAACTCTCTGAGAGACGGATGGTTAAACTGAATTTGCAGAAAATATTTCTAATTTGTTGTTTACCTTAAAATTCTGGAAAATTAATACAGTTCAATTTGCAATCAAAGTTGTACGTTTTGTCGAGATGTCAAAATATTTATTTTCCTTAGTCGAACATTCGATTGCACTATTCGAACGATAGTCGACTATTCGGAACATTTTGGGGGGGGGGTCTTATCGATAGTGTATTTATATCTCAAAATTCCTTTTCGTAAATTTATTTATTCCGATTTTGTTAGTTGGTTCCTTCCCTATACAGAAAATGAAAGTGAAAGATAATTGATTAGGTATATTTAACTTGACATAATAATAGATTAGCAAGAATTCATGAATTATATCGATTAACAAGAATTCACGCATTTTATCTCTGAAGGCCAATTTCGAGTTTCTTGACAATTATCAGACAGTTTATGATTTATTATTTGCAGTTTCTATGTGTACTATCTGAGATCAGACTCGATCAACGTTTATTTTAGAATTTCTGTTAATTTTATTTTCTATTCTTGGAAAAAAATCTATTTAATATGTCTTTATTTTAAAGTGCAATATGTATTGTGTTGTTAATTATTTGTATATCTGTTTGTTTGACATAAAATAAAGTTTTTATTTAAAAAGACAACGAAGTTCTTTAATTTGTACTGAATATTTGGACTATATTTATATAGAACACCTCGGCTTTCTTCGGTGAATCACGTAAGGAGATGCATACATGTACGCTACTATCCCCCATAGGTAGACACTTAACCCACCAAACTTTAATGCCTAAATAGTCATAATTGATTATATGACCTAGAAAAAAAAATTTAATGACTGTAATCATACAATCTAAATTTAGATGTGACCTTGACATAATATTCTAGTGATAAGGGGGGATACGACAGGTATTTCCCATTAATAGCGAGTTTTAAAATATCAGTAGTCCAGGAGCACTGAAATTATACATAGTTGAAACTGAAACTTCCCTTCAGACAGCCATGCACCAGTTTTCAAGGCAATATTCAGAAATTTTTACCAACACACCGATATATTCAAAAACTTAAAACATGAAATAATTTACTTTCAGGAGAACTGTAAAATAAAGCACTAGGTATATTTGCACAGGCAGTTGTTACGGTTACAACTTTTTTATCCCATAATATAATAGTTGTGTTCTTATACTAAGAGATTGGATTTTTTTTTTTTTTTGCTCGTTTTTATCTTTTTACGGAAACAAGTGCTTGTAAGTATGCGAGAAGTACTGTTAATCTGATAAAGATATATAAATCCCCCAGAGAATTGAAAAAAATAAATACTAAAACCCGTTGAAATCACATTCATGTAACCTATTATTGGATCGTGATTTGTCTGATTTGTTTCATACAATTGTTAGATCTTTGCTTTCGTACTGAGTTTGGCTACAATATGTTCCGTTTATCTGATTAACACATACATATTGTAGAGCTACCAGCGGGTGTGACAGGTCAGCAGGGGATGCTTACTCCTCCTAGGCACCGGATCCCTTTTCTGGAATTTCCAAGGATCCATGTCTATGCACTCTTTACATATCTGTACTGTATATGATATTTTTCTTGAGATCGATCACTGTTTGATCTTCGTCCTTTTCATTCATTCCTGATATCATAAACAACCGGTTCTTCAATAAAAATGGAATTCCGTGCGGTGGTTATCTGTAAAATTATTTCGTAAACACATTCTGATATACAAGTACTCAGAGATTGATATTAAAAAGATGTTTATTTATTTATTTATTTATTTGACAATGTCTGTGTGGTTGATCAGCCCTTCCAACATTTTGATTAAATTTCTTTGGGTATTAACATACCTCGTTATTTTCAGACCTGCATGTTTTTATATAAGGGTCTTGCATATTTATATATGCAAAAACATCTACATGAAAAGAAGTCTTTTGCTGAGGCCTTCACTTCAACTTTTTTCAAACAAAAGTTTTCAGTTTTATTTCTTACTATGGAATCTTCCATTCACTAGATCGCGACAAGAAGCACACATTGATTGTGATCGTTCGTCAGGAATGCTTGCTCCTCAATGGCACCTGATCCCACCTTTGTTTTCAAAGGTCCAATATTATTTTGCTCAGGATTTATATTGTTTAAATGGATTTTGGATGAACACTGTTTGTTATCATTACATTTCATGATAAAATTTACAAAATCCTTTATTGACAACATTTAAAATAACAGCAATTGTTGGGATGGCATGTTAATAACTGAAACTTGAGAATTTAATTTCAGATAATATTTATGTATGAATAAATATCACTTTCTCATAAAAGCATGAACAAGGAAGGTTTTTATCGACTTGAACTTCTTTCATAGGAAATTGACTAGTATTGCATATTTAAAAGATTAAGAAGAACTGGTTAAAAGTTCAAAAGTTTTCATTAAAAGTAGGTCATAAAATCTTTAAATTGGAGTTATAGCTATCATTCAGAAATTGACAACATATCATGTATTTTCCCGGAATTTATCTTTCAATAAGTTGTGGAGGAGTACTCCATTGAATATCAATATATAACTTGAAAAAAAATATAAAGCTTTCTTAGAAGTATCATCGTATTAAACCACAGACCTTTGGATCGCTTTAATCTGACTTTTCTAATCATAGGTGTATAAAAAAAAGGATAAATGTATTTTTTTAACACCTCAGTTTTTTAAACGATCTAAGGGCCTTTGTATCAAACTGTGTAGTATTTTGTATGAAACCTTTGCAATATCCCTTTCAATCTACAAATTTTTAACTGCTCATAGCTGTGCAAAGGGTAGAGGTGTATAATTCTGAAGGCAGGATACGGACCTTTTTTAATTTTATTTATTCATTATTATCATATTTTTATGTTGCAAGAACTGAATCAGGAATTATTTCGTTCATTTCAAAATAACGACCCCGTTTGGAGAAGCTAATTGGACACAATTTCGTAATATAGGAAGTATCACGCTAAAACGGAATCGTAACTCTTTAACATTCTCAAAAACATCTCCCCATTGAATAAGGTATTTTTTTTAACTTTTCCCAATTATTATATGCGTTTCCTTTTTTTTTTTTTTTAATAATTAGTTTAAGGATATTTTTTTACATAGAGTACAGTTAGTGTATGAACGCATAAAACTGTCACGTTTACTTCTATACGTTTCAGTTAAATACATCTAAATGAAATACTGCTATTTTGTAGACTTCTTAGAAAGCTTTTTGGTGTTAAAAATATGAATATTTTGTGCACTTTAGAGTCATATATACCCTCACCAACTTACAGAATATGTATTTATTTTTTGTAAGTTGAACATTTTTTTCCTCGGGTCCCCCACCTCCTTTCAAAATCGATGCTACGTTACTGCAATTTAAATGCATTTTTACTGAGATTTGCATAAAGCAAGGTGGTAAAGAACATGGGTTGATCAAAAGAAAAAAATGTGTTTTCTTTTAATGAGGTTGCTAAAAGGGGCTGGGGGTTGTGGCCATTTTCAGATTATTTTGACCTCCTTTAGTAGAAGAGCTTCATATAAAGATATACAAAAACGTTCAAATTTAAAACCTAAAATGTATGAAATTTTTCTTTGCCAAATGATAGTTGACAGCTTAAGATATCATATCTAAAAAAAAATTAAGTTATATCTGTTGGTTGATTTGTTGACTCCCCATCCTCCTTAAAAACATTTCCTATGAAATCAGCCTTATTTTTCATTATCATCTATTTTATGCTTTTGAATTTTACTGAAATTCAATAAAAAAAAATTAACCCTCACCCCACCCCCCGGTCAAATATTCATGTAGTCTAATTTTACCATGTAACCAGTTAAGTTTAATATAAAGAAAACAAATTTCGATTTTTATTTATATATCCTCCATCTTCGTTTGATTGTTTTGTATCCTATGACATTAAGATAGAATATGGGGGAATTGTTTTAATTTAGATGTATTTGCCTTATTTTTTACGGGGGGAAGACAGTAAGTTACGATAAATTAACATACTTTTGATTCTTAGGTAATTTTTCAAATAGACACAATCAATTCTTATTTATTTCTAAATTCTAATTTCATTTTTTATTCGAGGAAAAAACCTTCATTAAAATTCTAATGAGTTTTTGTTTAAATTCTAGTATACATGTACTGCATATTAAATTAACTCCCAGTTATGGTAATTTGGGTATAAAATTCAACGTAACGTGAAAACTGGGGAAAAATTGTTCAGAAAATTATGCTACATATAGTTTATGATGATTTTGATTTTTTTTTTTTTTTGAAGGGGAGGGGGGTATTTAGTACATGTATTACACAGATGGTGTAGTATCAAAGCAAATTATAATCGGAAAATGTAGGTCAGATTCAGCTTCCAAAGCAAATCTGGTAGCAATTTTTATAGACACATCAATTCTTAGATAAATCATCCATGCAAGTTTAGTGGTTATAGGGCTCATAGTACCTTGGAAATGAAACCTGCACCAAAAACTTAAACCTGTTTATTCAACCAGAAAATGTAGGTCAGATTCAGCTTCCAAAGCAAATCTGGTAGTATGCATCCTTAGATGAATCATCCATGCAAGTTTAGTGGTAATAGGGCTCATAGTAACTTGAAAATGAAACCTGCACCAAAAACTTTAAA